CGGGCCCCCGCCCGGCGCGCAGCGGCACCATGGGCACGGTGCTGTCCCTGTCCCCCAGCTACCGGAAGGCCACGCTGTTTGAGGATGGCGCGGCCACGGTGGGCCACTACACGGCCGTGCAGAACAGCAAGAACGCCAAGGACAAGAACCTGAAGCGGCACTCCATCATCTCCGTGCTGCCTTGGAAGAGGATCGTGGCCGTGTCGGCCAAGAAGAAGAACTCCAAGAAGGTGCAGCCCAACAGCAGCTACCAGAACAACATCACGCACCTCAACAATGAGAACCTGAAGAAGTCGCTGTCGTGCGCCAACCTGTCCACGTTCGCCCAGCCCCCACCGGCCCAGCCGCCCGCACCCCCGGCCAGCCAGCTCTCGGGCTCCCAGGCCGGCGTCTCCTCCTCCGTCAAGAAGGCCCCGCACCCTGCCATCACCTCCGCAGGGACGCCCAAACGGGTCATCGTCCAGGCATCCACCAGCGAGCTGCTGCGCTGCCTGGGCGAGTTTCTCTGCCGCCGGTGCTACCGCCTGAAGCACCTGTCCCCCACGGACCCCGTGCTGTGGCTGCGCAGCGTGGACCGCTCGCTGCTTCTGCAGGGCTGGCAGGACCAGGGCTTCATCACGCCAGCCAACGTGGTCTTCCTCTACATGCTCTGCAGGGATGTTATCTCCTCCGAGGTGGGCTCAGACCACGAGCTCCAGGCGGTCCTCCTGACCTGCCTGTACCTCTCCTATTCCTACATGGGCAACGAGATCTCCTATCCACTCAAGCCCTTCCTGGTGGAGAGCTGCAAGGAGGCCTTTTGGGACCGTTGCCTCTCTGTCATCAACCTCATGAGCTCCAAGATGCTGCAGATCAATGCCGACCCACACTACTTCACCCAGGTGTTCTCTGACCTGAAGAACGAGAGTGGCCAGGAGGACAAGAAGCGGCTCCTCTTAGGGCTCGATCGGTGAGCCCCGAAGCCCGCGGCATGGCTCAAGGATTCAATTCATTTTTAAAAATTTAATATGAAACAAATCAGAGTTTTGTGTACAGTATGTGTCTAGCAAAGCCACCAAGGGCCTCTCCCTTCCCGTGTTCCCTCCTTGGGTTTTTTTCCAGCCCTGCCGAGAACTCTGGGCACTTTTGAACTCCCGAACCTGTGCAAAACCCAGAAGATGTGCTCAGAGCCACCCAGGCCGCTCTCTTACTTTGGGGGACTCAAGAACTGACCTGCCTCTGCCACCCATGCCCTTGCTGGATCCAGGGTGGGCAAGGCTGCCTGCTGCTTCCTGGATGGCAGCTGGAGAAGGGCCTCTGGCTGGTTGGCCCAGGAAGGAATCAGGGTTTCTGGTTAGAAGTCCTTTTCTGGCTCCTGTTTCGGGTCATTCATTCTCCCAGAGGCTCCTAGAGCTGACCGCCCTGTCTGAGCCACGAATGGGGTTGTGAGGCAAGGTCCCTGCTGCCCAGGGACATCTTCAGTGGAGGCAAGGCAAAGCCTGTCTAGAGGAAAGATTGTGCCCAGTCCTTTGACCATGCACGGCTCTGGTTTGCTTTTCTCTTTTTTTAGGGAGAAAGGCTTTCCTTTAGTGGAGAAATAGAACTTGTCCCCCTAACCCTTTGTCTGCTGCTCCTCGCAGTGTTGGTAGTGTTGGCAGTGTTGGCTCATGGGCTGGCTTGACTCATTATGTTCTCTCATTTTGGGTCCCAGCTAAAGGTGGGGTGAAGCTAGGGACAGTTCCTTTCCTGGGTGAATTTTTCATTTGAATAATGCAGCTCCATCACCCTGTGGTAAGTGCTAGGACAGCCACAGGTGCCCATTAGGAATAGCCTGCCTTCTAGGCAGGTAGGGGATGCCATGCTTGAGACTGAGCTGTTGCCCACCTGAGGGCTAGGGCCTCTTGCTGGTGCACATGACATTTGTCCTGCAGAGCTGGGGGCAAGATGATGTCAGGGATTAGGGTGATGTGGTAATGGCCTATCCTCACCCCCCCCACCCCTGTTAATTTAAAGCTGTTTTCAAGTAGTTCAGTTTCTTCTGGAGAGGAAACCTTGCCCTGCAAGGCCCAGTGAGACAGCTGCATCTTGGAGACAATTACAGGATGGGGAGTGTGACTCCTGATTGCTTTGGAAGCCTGCTGATTCTACAACCGATCTTTTGCAACTGCTGGTTTTGGTTTCCCCCTTACCCTAGTGGCTGTAAAAACACATGACGTGTACTTTACCATTTTTTTTCCTAATTCTCCCAGATTAGTGGCTTGGGACTTGGGAGAGGACCAAGAGAAGGGAGTGAGTCTTCCTCCATGGCCCACCACTCCAACTCTGGGGAACAAAGACCAACATGAAGACACTGCAGAGCATTCTCTCTTCCAGTCCCAGTCCCCCGGGGAGTGCTGGCATGGGGGGGCTGGTCTGGGGGCGGCAGGGTCATTTCACATAGGATTAGATTCTAGGTGGCTGCCGATTTCAGCACAAGCACTACTGAAATTCACATAAAAAGAGAAAGCTGTGAAATTGAGGTCCCCACTTAAGAGGCCTGGAGCAGAACCTGGTGGCCTGCGGCGTTCCCAGAGAAGGGGAAGAGGGCCTTCCCCGGGCTGGACAGCATCTGCTCGGCTGTGCCGCCATGCTTGCACTGAGCCATTCCTGGGACTGTCAGATAGTCGATGCAGAGCTGGAAGGAACCTGTGGCTGGGGCACAGACTTGACCGCAGTGTCTCTTCTCTGCTGGAGTTTCCACACAGCCTGTCTTCGGATCCTGCTGCCACGTGCGACCTGAGGTGGGAGGCCCCTGGTGACATGGAGGAGGGAAGATCGGGTGCCAAGTCTCAGGAGGAGGGCACATATTTGAAGTCACACACTCAGCTGGCTGAACCTGGCCTGGAATTGTGCGGTTAAGTTGCACCTGGGGATTCCAGTTTTGTGTGTTTCTTTCTCTTTCTCCATATTTATTTTTTTATTTTTTGGAGGAGGTGCACATTTCAGGAGTGATTGGGAACTAAGGAGACAATCCTCTAGTTCCGTCAATGTGAAGCCTGCTGTGTTCTCCTCTCTACTTGCACTGGTCATCAGTATTGTGTAAAGGAACAACTGATATACTTGAGTGTGCAAGCAACGAACTCATTTGACATGCTGCTATGAAGACTACTTTTAGAACAATTAAAAAAAAAACTAACCTACAAAAAACCCCCTTTATTCTTTAATTGTTGCTTTTACAGTGATATTGTGCATGCAAACCAGGAGCATTTTGTGTCTTACGAAAAATAATCTTAGAACAGATGGCTGTGAAAATTACACCCATGCACAGAACAAGCCACAGGAATAATAATAGTTCAGGATTTGGTTTTTCTCTTTTTCTCATAAACCTGAAGGGTTGATATATTCTTTCCATGCAGTTATTAGAACTTAGTTTTGTTCCAACAGTTGTTAAACTTGCAATGAAAAGAAAATGTGCCATTTTTTTCACTCGGAATTATTCATAGCTGTATATTTGAAACTGCTAATTACACATGTGTGATGTATGTTGGTTTTTTAGTGCAATTTCTTCTGTAGCTATTCTTTGACCAAACTGTGGGTACTGTTAATATTAATTTATATTTGTCTCATTTTGTATGTATGTGTAGTGTGTGAGTATGTGTGGTTTATAATCTGAGAAAGTCATGAAGCTCAGTTTGGCTGTAATTTAATTCCCCTTCCCTTATTTTTATTTATTTTTGTACTGTGCTGATTCAATAAAATGCACTGACCATCCGTTACATAGACCTCTTTTTGTGGGCCCGTCATTTGAGAGCAAGCTGGGGGCCTCTTTAATGCATGATTCATGCACTTGGAACATAACTGGATTTGTGTTATGGGGGAGGGGAAAGAGTTCAGGGAAAGGGCTTAACACACTAAGGTGATTAAAAAAGCAGCACAGGTTAAGTCAGCTTTGGTTTAGCAGCTGGGGTGGGGCTCCCCTGGTGGAGCTGAATGACTGGAACCTCCAGCCAAGGAGGGTCAGGCTCAACTGTGGGGCCTGGCAAAGGCTGGCTGAGTGGGCCCTCCTGGCGCAGCGGGCTTTAGACCCCATATGTTCATGCTTGGCTCCACGGTTGCTGCTCCCACGTGTCCCCAGGCCTGGTTCTACTCAGCACTCACTGCCCAGAGGCCTCCAGGCCAGCAGGGGTGGACCGCTGTTTATGTGGGCCAACCCACCAGCGTAGCTTCATGCAGCTTCTCAAGAGAGGAATTCAGCCCTGGGGCTCCCAGAGAAGTGGGACCCCAACCTGTAATTGTGGCAAGGGTGGGATCCTCCTACCGGCAGTATCGCCGGTGGTCTGTGCCCAGTCCTGACCACCAGCCCCAGCCTCAGTGGGAGGGTGGTGGGGACTCGGCCTTCCCAGTCCCTGCACACCTGTGGTCCAGAGCTGTCCCTGGGCACCAGGGAAGCCTTTCCTGTGCTCATGTTGTAGCTTGGGAGCTGTTGGCCTTGTCATCAGGCTACTCACTTTTCTCAAGGAGGCTCCCTTGGCCTGAGTCACAGAAGCCGCTTCTGTTCTTTCCTGTTAATGACTGGTGACTGGTAAGCACCTGCAGCAGCAGGGCTCCCTGGTGCTGGGGGGGCCCTTCGCCACCCAGAGCCTCACCTTCTTTGCCTGCAGCACCCTCCCCCGTCCCGGCCGCTCCCTGCCCTCATTCCCCAGCCCCCCCACTTCCCCAGCCCCGCGCCTTAGGGAGAGGCTTACTGGCCCCCTTTCATTCAGACTGCCTGCCCTGTCTCCAAGATGCTGCTGCAGGAATCTGAGCCTTTCCTTCGTACATACACGCTTTTTATCACAATAAACATGTTCCCTGACACCAGTGCTGTGAGCGCTGGACTCTAGAGCACAGGAAGGGCAGGGTGTGGACTAGGCCACTGCCTTCTCCCTCCCCTCGTCACTCCTCTTCCCCAAAGCTTCCTTCTCGCCCACCATTTAATATTTTTGTTCAAAAGCCTCAGGCAAATTATCCTCCATTTTACATTATTTGTGCTCAGTTCTCCCTTCCTCCTCTGGGATAACAGTTGACTTTATATAAGCTAAAATTTCACAATTATAGTTTTCAGTGACAGATAAGCAGAACACCTTTAAAAATAAGATTTAATGCTTTATTGCTCTTGATAATAAATCAATATGCTTTAGAAATAAAGTTAATTTAATGGAAAATAGGAATATATGCACCAACCCATAAAATTGCATTTAATTAAATCAAGAGAAACATTTCATTGCATACAATCACTGTGTCCGCTTCCTTTCCCCTCAGCACCCTGGACGCATTACTATGATCACGCCCTAAATTCCTGATCCTTCTTCAGTCCACGATCACTGACTTAGTACATCAGAAAAAAGTGCTTGTTGACAGCCGGCAGTCCTGGCGCTGGGGCTGAGGGGCCAAGGCAACACTGAAAGGCGGAAAGAAGGGATCCAGACCCCAACTCTCCTCTCCAGCTCCTGACGGGCAACTCATTTGGCATGATCTGTGTCTAGTGTAAAGCAACAGGTCTGGGGAAGTGGGAAGGAGTGAAGTTCCAGTTAGATGGTTCAACTACTGTCTACTGGTAATTGGCAAAACTATGAGCGTTGCTAAACTGGGCTGGTGGTGCCTCTGCACTGAGCAGGCAGCTGACCAGGCTTCGAGAATGAGAAAGGGTTCCCAAGGACAGGATGCCAACAGGATTCTTTGTTGCAAATTTGCACACAGTGCAAATGTTTGAAGCCCTGGGAAGCAGGGGTGGGGGTGGCCATGAGACCAGGCTGCTGGGACCACCCTGGGGTCAGCCAGGTGACTGCATCAGGCCCTGGGCGAGGCACAGGAGGCCACACACAGGCACTTGGTGGGTTCTGCTGGGTCAGGGTGGCAGGGTTGGAGCACTGGGGGAGGGGCAGCGTCTGTGGCAGAAAGTGAAGAAAACTTCAGTATGCCCCTCTTTGACACCCCTGCCAGCTCCTCCTGAGGTGTGGGCTCCCCCCTGCCCCTTATAACATGGGGTGTTTGTTCTGAGTTGCCCCTTCTTTTGAGCTCCCCACCGGGAGGCCTGGCTGCCACAGGTCATAGCATCCTCTGCAGCAGCTGAGGTTGGGGGAGGAGAGTGGTCTCAGGAAGGCTCTGAGTTGCGCTTCCTTTCAGCTGGGCAGAGATTGGCAAGACGGCAGTGCCCTCCTGGCACAAGGTCCACTGGCCGGCACTGGGGGGATCTGTGTGGGGAATGGGGGGTGGGTATCCTGGCCTGGCCCGCAGTGCCAGGACCCCATGCTCGGCTTTCTGTTGCTCTGCTTCCCATCATTCCTGGGTGCTTGGTTACCGCCCTAGTCCTCCCCATGGGTGGTAAACACAGGGAGAGGTGTTAGAAAAGGAAAGCTGCCAACCCCCTGGGTGCCCCCTCGCCGGGTAGCTCCATTTTCTTATTAGGGTTCCTAACACAAGTGTGGTGGCAGCTCTCTGATTAGCAACCTGCAAACTGCGAGAGTCAGCTGACGAGACACAGGCCGAGGGGCATCACACTGTTCTTTCCAGAGGGGTGGTCAGAGGCCCAGGCGGGAGCCCTGGTCAAGGGGTGGGGGTGGGGGAGTGTCCCTGGGGCTGGCTTGGGCTGGCTCAGGGAAGGACGGATGGAAGGAGCTTGGTTCTGCAGG